AGGCTGCGAGCAGCCGCGTCTAACAGCCTGGTTGATCAGTCCAGCAACCAGGAGGCCTGGTCGACGACCGGGCCGCGGGGACACTAAGCCCCGGAAGCACCTCAAGGTAGCCTCAAGGTAGGTTCGAATCCTCGTCACGGCCCTTGTGGATTTGTTCATACAGGAGTAAAACCCCGAAGGAATTATAAGTCCTGCTAATACACGGAAAACAAGAACATATAACAAATACATAACACATAAAACCCAATGGAGAGACAGCACCGGAACTCACCCGAGAAACCCGACCCGACCAGTACCAAGGACCCGCCAGCGACAAGTCCGCAAAGACCGGATACCCTCCTAAGGGTACCACAGTTCCCCCAAAGGGATGAGGAAGAGGGGTTGCAGGAGTTCCACCAATGGGGTAACCCCTTAAAGAGGGGCAATAGACCCCTTTTTCAACACCAAACGGAAATCATGCCCTGCACTACCACTGTCCCTAGGGTCAACACCCCCCCACCAACCCACAGTTCCAAAGCATCTGTACCACAGTAAATAGGTACCTGGGAGTTAGTCAGCTGTCACGGGCTGTTTCCTGGGGGTGGAGGCCTGGTCGAGGACCGGGCCGCGGGGACACTAAAAAGCCCCGAAATCATCTCAAGATAACCTCAAGATAACCACCAAGGGACCGCGACCTGGTAGTGCCTTTTCTGTTTTTCTGCCAAGCGACCAGCTCTGCCGGATGTGACGTGTCTTGTAGGAGTCGTGGACACATGCCCTCCATCGGAGAGGCAGCTGGAGATGCCTCCCAAGACGAGGGGAAACCCCCACAGACGGAGCAGGTGCATCAGAACAGCTCTCCAAAAGAGACTCGAACGCCACTTGGGGCGTCGGCACCGCCACCACAGTAGACGGTTCACTGAATCTAAACAGGTATAGACGACACCTCATAAAGGCCTGTCGTCGGAGCCCCATCCACACACACACCGGTATAGACGACACCTCATACAGCCTTGTCGTCGGAGCCCCATCCACACACACACCGGTATAGACGACAACACATACAGCCTTGTCGTCGGAGCCCCATCCACACACACACCGGTATAGACGGCACCACATGAAGCCTTGTCGTCGGAGCCCCATCCACACACACACCGGTATAGACGACACCACATAAAGCCCGTCGTCGGAGCCCCATCCACACACACACCGGTATAGACGACAACACATAAAGCCCGTCGTCGGAGCCCCATCCACACACACACCGGTATAGACGACACCACGTAAAGCCCGTCGTCGGAGCCCCATCGACATATTGACAGGGTGGACAAAGACAAACTCTTCAGCACGGGTGGGACACGAACAAGGGGACACAGGGGGAAACTTAGTACCAAGATGAGCCACAGAGACGTTAGAAGGAATTTTTTCAGTGTCAGAGTAGTTAACAGATGGAATGCATTAGGCAGTGATGTGGTGGAGGCTGACTCCATACACAGTTTCAAGTGTAGATATGATAGAGCCCAATAGGCTCAGGAACCTGTACACCAGTTGATTGACAGTTGAGAGGCTGGACCAAAGAGCCAGAGCTCAACCCCCGCAAGCTCAACTAGGTGAGTACATACGTTGCGGTCGGCGGAACCCGGGTTCACACGATGCCCCAAATTGTACAGGAAAACTCAAAACAGACATTTATCTTCCCACTGCTCTACTCAGCCGATATTGTGGCCTGTTGGATGATAACCCAACTCCTTCTTTGACGGTAGAGCGACGGTCTCGCTTCATGCAGGTCGGCGTTCAATCCCCGACCTGAGCTTGTAAAAGCACCTTCATCACCTTCAGTGATTAAGTGCTTAATTGCACTAGTTTCTTTATCAGCTATCTCACCCTGTCAGAGTAAATGAGACAGATGTATGTGAATGCATGTGTGTGTATATGTATGTATATGTATGGGTATAAAGTATATATGGAAGCTGATCAGAATTACATTTCACCTTTGTGAATGTACATTAATGACACTATGTAAAAGACACATCGAACACTTTATGTAGGGCGTACGTAAATCTGTGTATCTATGTATTTACGTATGTAGGTTAGCTTAGCATTTTAAAAGCACCGAATCACCTTCTGTGGTTGAGTGTTCAATAAACCCTTGAACTATATGTTTAACACTTCTCTAACCCTGTCCATGGAGGACAGAAGAAAATGTATATATGCTGGTTAGCATTGTAAATGTGTGGCCACGTCTGTGGTAGAAAATAATAAAAAAAAAAAAAAAAAAAAATCCCCGACCGTCCACCAAGTGGTTGGGCACCATTCCTTTCCCTCCGTCCCATCCCAGATCCTGACCCCTTCCCAGTGCTATATAGTCGTAATGGCTTGGCGCTTTCCCCTGATAATTCCTTCTAGTCTCCCTCAAGGTGAAGGCTTGGCTCCACCCCTGAGGCACCGTGCCCTCGGAAGCTCCACCCCCTTTTCTAGGCCTACATCCAATCAACTTGAACTAGGCCTAGGGTTCTGGCACCTTCAGCCAATGACAGCTATGCCTGGCGCTTGTCCAATGAGCAATCTTCAAAGGTAAGAGGGGGAGGGAATTATCAGGGGGAAAGCGCCAAGCCATTACGACTATATAGCACTGGGAAAGGGGTCAGGATCTGGGATGGGACGGGGGGAAAGGAATGGTGCCCAACCACTTGTGGACGGTCGGGGATTGAACGCCGACCTGCATGAAGCCAGACCGTCGCTCTACCGTCCACCCCAAGTGGTTGGGCAACGTTGTTAAGAGCTTTTTGCCCAGATATTTCTGTCTTTGCTTAGAGTTTTCTCAATTCTTAAGAAAGCACAAGAGGATATTCTCCTTATAGGCATACACTGCATAGTAGACTTCCATCAGTCTCAGGAGACTATGGAGTTACGCTCTGGTTGTCGGTCTGGAGTGGCCTCACCAGGGCGCAAAGCCTGGGTAGGTTGATACGAGGGAGAAGCTGTTACCCATGCAGCAGGTCCTCCCTCTCCAGGGCGCAAAGCCAGGGTAGGTTGATACGAGGGAGAAGCTGTTACCCATGCAGCAGGTCCTCCCTCTCCAGGGCGCAAAGCCAGGGTAGGTTGATACGAGGGAGAAGCTGTTACCCATGCAGCAGGTTCCCCCTCTCCACGCCATCAGTCTCAGGAGACTATGTAGTTGGACTCTGGTTGTCGGTCTGGAGTGGCCTCTCCAGGGCGCAAAGCCTGGCAAGGTTGATTTGGGGGAGAAGCTGTTACCCATGCAGCAGGTCCCCCCTCTCCACGCCATCAGTCTCAGGAGACTATGGAGTTACGCTCTGGTTGTCGGTCTGGAGTGGCCTCACCAGGGCGCAAAGCCTGGGTAGGTTGATTCGGGGGAGAAGCTGTTACCCATGCAGCAGGTCCCCTCTCCACGGCGCTGAAAGTCTCCAGTGGAAAGGCATACGCCAATACGATACACTTCATACATCCTACAGTATTGTAGTAGGAACATTCAATGACAACAAGTCTCATATACCACATAGCTTTAGGTGAGGGTAGATAATCAAAAGCTATCTTTACAGCTAAGAAAAGTGACCACTTTTTGCTTTAGTCTCTGTGTGTGTTAACATTACCCTAAAGACAGCCGGTCGGCCGAGCGGACAGCACGCTGGACTTGTGATTCTGTGGTCCTGGGTTCGATCCCAGGCGCCGGCGAGAAACAATGGGCAGAGTTTCTTTCACTCTATGCCCCTGTTACCTAGTAGTAAAATAGGTACCTGGGTGTTAGTCAGCTGTCACGGGTTGCTTCCTGGGGGGGGAGGTCTGGTCGAGGACCGGGCCGCGGGGACACTAAAGCCCCGAAATCATCTCAAGATAACGTCAAGATAGAAGATTATGAGTGACACTTTGATTATTAGGCAAGAAGTGCACTTCACTCTTCTTGGAAAGACTCAAAATTAATGATTCTCTATCAAGGCGTGGCTCCTGGAGTCCTGGTGTGTGTGTGTGTGTGTGTGTGTGTGTGTGTGTGTGTGTGTGTGTGTGTGTGTGTGTGTGATGATTGGTGTGTGTGTGTGTGTGATGATTGGTGTGTGTGTGTGTGTGCGTGTGCGAGCTGTCAAACACTTGGGGCCAGATTCACGAAAGTACTTAGGAACGTGTACATCTTTCCTCAATCTTTGACGGCTTTGGTTACATTTATTAAACAGTTTACAAGCATGAAAACTTGCCAATCAACTGTTGTTATTGTTATAAACAGCCTCCTGGTGCTTCGGAGCTCATTAACTGTTTAATAATTGTAAACAAAGCCGCCAAAGATTGAGAAAAGATGGACAGGTTCGTAAGTGTTTGCGTAAGTGCTTTCGTGAATCTGGCCCTTGGTCTCGTCACGTGGGGAGCTATCATGAAGTTATCTTGAGATGATTTCGGGGCTTTAGTGTCCCCGCGGTCCAGTCCTCGACCAGGCCTCCACCCTCAGGAAGCAGCCCGTGACAACTGACTAACACCCAGGTACCTATTTACTGCTAGGTAACAGGGGCATAGGGTGAACGAAACTCTGCCCATTGTTTCTCCCCGGCGCCTGGGATCGAATCCAGGACCACAGGATCACAAGTCCAGCGTGCTGTCCGCTCGGCCGACCGGCTCCGCTAGAGAACAGCCAGATTTTAATAACAGGTGTTTGAATACCACCTGATGATTGATCAACCATCCCTTGCACCCTATCTTCGTCTCCTTCTTGACAACCCAATGGCGTCTTGAGGCATGTCACAGTCATTTATCACAGATTGCGTCTTGCGCTTGACTCTATTCTTGTAACGTTGGTATTATGCCTGCCATAGAGCCCCGTCAAGCCTCGCTACATGCTTCATTTAGCCCTCATAGAGCCCAGAGAGAGCCAGCGAGGAGCTGGAGTAGGTGCTCTCGTTGCTATGGTAACGATGTAAACAAATAATAGTCAGCTGACCACACAGCTGGCCAGACTCACCAGTCATGATAAGCTCACCTCACCTGTCGCTGCGGTTCAGTGTGGCTGCGGCCGTCTTCGAGAGCACACCGTCGATGCTTTGCTCTGGCGGACCTCATTCCACTAAATCATATTTCTGAAGATTTTTCAAGGATTGTGAATACATATTCAAGTTGTTATTCACGATTACAACCTCATCTGAATAATTTCTGCCACTTATCAAAAATTTGTGTTATTCTTTGGTGTTAATAGTGTAAATCTTGTCAGAAAAAAAGACAAAATGTTTACACATTGAACGTATTGTCCTAAAAATATAATTGAAAAAATTATTGTTAATTGCGTAATATAATTGTGGATTAATATTATAGTCATGGATAGAAAACGGCGATTGACAGGTCATATTGACCCCTGATGCAGCGGTTGTGACCTGGGGGTCATATCACCCGTGTGGAGTGACCTGGGGTCATATGACCCGTGTGGAGTGACCTGGGGTCATATGACCCGTGTGGAGTGACCTGGGGTCATCACGGTTGGTGGTCAATATGCCGCGTCGTGTAAGTCGTGTCCTGGATGAGGAACGGATTACTAGGACCCCATCTGACCTGGTGAGTAATGTCTCTCCAATCATCTCCAGGGCCCTCTCTTTCTCTAGGTGACCTGGTGAGTAAGGTCTCTCCAATCACCTCCAGGACTTTCCCTTTCTCTAGGTGACCAGGTGAGTAAAATTACTCCAATCATCTCCAGGGCCCTCTCTTTCTCTAGGTGACCTGGTGAGTAAGGTCTCTCCAATCACCTCCAGGACTTTCCCTTTCTCTAGGTGACCAGGTGAGTAAAATTACTCCAATCATCTCCAGGGCCCTCTCTTTCTCTAGGTGACCTGGTGAGTAAGGTCTCTCCAATCACCTCCAGGACTTTCCCTTTCTCTAGGTGACCTGGTGAGTAAAGTAACCCATCATCTACAGGTGATGAGTCAAAATAAAGTGGCTGAAGTATGTTGACCAGACCACACACTAGAAGGTGAAGGGACGACGACGACGTTTCGGTCCGTCCTGGACCATTCTCAAGTCGATCTAGGAATCAACTTGAGAATGGTCCAGGACGGACCGAAAAAGTATTTTGTCTACTAGTTTGATCAATTGCTGTCAGCCTCGCAACTGATATGGTAGGTAATATTATAATGCCTACAGGACCCTCTGCTTACCTCTGGATATATTGATATCCTGCTACCAGGTCCCTCCATGAGTATACTGATATCCTGTCATAAGGTCCCTCCGGAGTTTGCTTAGTATCACTATTGACATCTTTATTGACATCTTTATTGACACAAGCAGGCGATGAGTCACAATAACGTGGCTGAAGTATGTTGACCAGACCACACACTAGAAGGTGAAGGGACGACGACGTTTCGGTCCGTCCTGGACCATTCTCAAGTCCATTCTCAAGTCAAATGGACTTGAGAATGCGATGAGTCACAATAACGTGGCTGAAGTATGTTGACCAGACCACACACTAGAAAGTGAAGGGACGACGACGTTTCGGTCCGTCCTGGACCATTCTCAAGTCCATTCTCAAGTCCATTGTGAATTTATTGACACAAATTAATTTCACTTTCGCCTAATCTGAGGAATGCAATTAGGTCTTATTAAAGTGAGGATAATACTGGTATTCACTGTCACGCAGGACAGAGGATTATACAAGATACAATAGGCCTAAACTATAAGCTGAATCACATATATTTTTAAGCTGCTTATCTTATAAACTCATCCCTGCTCTTGTGGGCCAGTGCACGATAGAAAGTTGGATATACGTATTCGTAAATTGAAACATGTGTAGGCCTATACTGAAGGCAGTATACATGTCTCAATTTAGGAATATGGGAATCGAACTTTGTATTGTGCACTGCCACACAAGGGCAGGGATCTTCTTGAGATTCTTGAGATGATTTTGGGGCTTTAGTGTCCCCGCGGCCCGGTCCTCGACCAGGCCTCCACCCCCAGGAAGCAGCCCGTGACAGCTGACTAACTCCCAGGTACCTATTTACTGCTAGGTAACAGGAGCATTCAGGGTGAAAGAAACTTTGTCCATTTGTTTCTGCCTCGTGCGGGAATCGAACCCGCGCCACAGAATTACGAATCCTGCGCGCTATCCACCAGGCTACGAGGCCCCTACGAGGGATGGGTTTATAAGAGATGCAGCTTGAAAATAAAATAAATAAAATTGTTCTTCATTCTTTAAAATGAAGAAATTTTGGATAAATTGTTAGGATCCCTGGAAACACAAACCGAAACTGTCTCTATTTTCCGCTTGTTACAACTTGTAATAAAGTTGTTACATCTTGGCTTAACGTGTTTATGACGTATTAGAACGTTGTTACAACTTGCTATATTGGTTGTTATAACTGGTTAGGAGGTGTTAAAACTTGTTCGAACGTTGTACCAACGTCGTAGTTTCGGTGTGTGTTTGGCGGGTTGTCGTCCAGTACACCAGATTCAATGAAAGAGTTACACAGTTGGTGGTACAATAGGTAAGATCTAAAATCATTTACGGTTTAACATTTAATAATATAGTGAACCAATCCACAAGGGCCGTGACGAGGATTCGAACCTGCGTCCGGGAGCATCCCACACACTGCCTTAATCGACTGAGCTACGACAGGGTAAAAGGATTATCCTGGTTTGTGCCTCGGAGAGGCTACGGGATCCTGTAAGTTCAGTAGAACTTCGGTTTCAACCCTTTTAACCCTGTCGTAGCTCAGTCGATTAAGGCAGTGTCTGGGATGCTCCCGGACGCAGGTTCGAATCCTCGTCACGGCCCTTGTGGATTGGTTCATTTAATGTGGTAGTGGCTCAGCCTCACTAACCTGCCAGATGGGCCTATAGTCAAAATACTTACACATTGAACGTATTGTCCTAAAAATCTAATTCACAATGGAGCCGGTCGGCCGAGCGGGCAGCACGCTGGACTTGTGATCCTGTGGTCCTGGGTTAGATCCCAAGCGCCGGCGAGAAACAATGGGCAGAGTTTCTTTCACCCTATGCCCCTGTTACCTAGCAGTAAAATAGGTACCTGGGTGTTAGTCAGCTGTCACGGGCTGCTTCCTGGGGGGTGGAGGCCTAGTCGAGGACCGGGCCGTGGGGACACTAAAGCCCCGAAATCATCTCAAGATAACCTCAAGATAGCCACACAATGACTACACCACATTGCCTGGTCCAGTTACTGTGCAGACAATACATATATTTACTGTTACAACTGTTGTCATAGCTTTTAATACTGCAGCTTTCAGGGGCCAGATTCACGAAGCAGTTACGCAAGCACTTACGAACCTGGGGCCAGATTCACGAAAGCAGTTACGCAAGCACTTACGAACGTGTACATCTTTCCTCAATCTTTGACGGCTTTGGTTACATTTATTAAACAGTTTACAAGCATGAAAACTTGCCAATCAACTGTTGTTATTGTTATAAACAGCCTCCTGGTGCTTCGGAGCTCATTAACTGTTTAATAATTGTAAACAAAGCCGCCAAAGATTGAGAAAAGATGGACAGGTTCGTAAGTGCTTGCGTAAGTGCTTTCGTGAATCTGGCCCCAGGTTCGTAAGTGCTTGCGTAAGTGCTTTCGTGAATCTGGCCCCAGGTTCGTAAGTGCTTGCGTAAGTGCTTTCGTGAATCTGGCCCCTGGTCTCTGGGTATGTCTTAGTTCATCTAAATCTAAAGTAATTTTTTTAATTTATAAGTTTTAATAATTGCATTACACAGTCATAAGTCAATGATTTTCTTGCAAGTCTCATTGATCAATCGATCAACAAAGTCATGTTTTCCAACTCCAACATGGGATGGGATTTCTTGAGATTATCTTGAGATGATTTCGGGGCTTTTTAGTGTCCCCGCGGCCCGGTCCTCGACCAGGCCTCCACCCCCAGGAAGCAGCCCGTGACAGCTGACTAACACCCAGGTACCTATTTTACTGCTAGGTAACAGGGGGCATAGGGTGAATGAAACTCTGCCCATTGTTTCTCTCCGGCGCCTGGGATCGAACCCAGGACCACAGGATCACAAGTCTAGCTTAAGGTCAATAGGTCAGATAAATACCCATTAGCTCAGTCTGTGTGGCGCTTGCCCAGTCGTTCAATCTCTGTGTACTAGACATGATCATTTCATCCCCTTTATAAAGGGAGATATAATTCCTCCCTAAAAGGGAGGAGAGAATGTGCAGTTATATCTCCCTTTATAAAGGGAGATATAACTGCACATGCACAATCTGTTCTATCAGTGCCCAATTGCACAGAGCCAACAGTAAAGGCATAGGAATCAGTTGAGTTTTCAGAGAGTATAGTAACATTCAGGATTCTCGTACCCCATTCCTGATCCTATTAATTCCATGGTTCCCTAGTGTACCATACAGGGTGCCCGGAACCTGTACCATACCGGCTGCCCGGAACCTGTACCATACAGGGTGTCCTCAACCTGTACCATACAGGGTGTCCTCAACCTGTACCATACAGGGTGTCCTCAACCTGTACCATACAGGCTGTCCGGAACCTGTACCATACAGGGTGTCCTCAACCTGTACCATACAGGCTGTCCGGAACCTGTACCATACAGGGTGTCCTCAACCTGTACCATACAGGGTGTCCTCAACCTGTACCATACAGGGTGTCCTCAACCTGTACCATACAGGGTGTCCTCAACCTGTACCATACAGGCTGTCCGGAACCTGTACCATACAGGGTGTCCTCAACCTGTACCATACAGGCTGTCCGGAACCTGTACCATACAGGCTGCCCGGAATCTGTACCATACAGGCTGCCCGGAACCTGTACCATACAGGCTGCCCGGAACCTGTACCATACAGGCTGCCCGGAACCTGTACCATACAGGGTGCCCGGAACCTGTACCATACAGGCTGTCCGGAACCAGTACCATACAGGCTGCCCGGAACCTGTACCATACAGGCTGCCCGGAACCTGTACCATACAGGCTGCCCGCAACCTGTACTTACAGGTTGCGGGCACCTGTACTTACAGGTCTACAGGTTTCAGTGGATCTTCAGCGACTTCGCGCGCCACAGGCATGCCGCGGCGTGCGAAGTCCGTCGACCCCAACCTTCGCTACAGCGTCCTAGCGTCGGCCAGTACAACGCGAGACTCTTAAAATGTCGATACAAATCCAAATTCCCCTCGAGCGGCTCTCGTCTCACACGACAGGAATATCGATAACGCCCCATTCCGCTGTCATTAGTAATGAGAGGCTATGTGGTCTTGCTTGGAGCGGCCCGCAGGCCAGGCTTGACTTGTGAGAGTTTGGTCCACCAGGCTGTTGCTTGGAGCGGCCCGCAGGCCAGGCTTGACTTGTGAGAGTTTGGTCCACCAGGCTGTTGCTTGGAGCGGCCCGCAGGCCAGGCTTGACTTGTGAGAGTTTGGTCCACCAGGCTGTTGCTTGGAGCGGCCCGCAGGCCAGGCTTGACTTGTGAGAGTTTGGTCCACCAGGCTGTTGCTTGGAGCGGCCCGAGGCCAGGCTTGACTTGTGAGAGTTTGGTCCACCAGGCTGTTGCTTGGAGCGGCCCGCAGGCCAGGCTTGACTTGTGAGAGCTTGGTCCACCAGGCTGT